TTTTTTTTTTTTAATCACACACAATTTTTAAAAAGAAGTCAGTTGTGAAGTGTGACAGAGAAACACTGCAGGGTCAGCCTAACTGAAGTCCACTTGGCAGTTGCTATTGAGAGGGTCAGTGGCTGTTTTATCCTTGTTAAGTCTGATATTATGGAAAAGTGGCACAGAATCCCATAACAATGAACAGTAATGATGCTGATTTTGGCAAGTACAAAGCTGGTCACTGTGCCATGTAAATGATCTGAGGACCAGAAGGTCCCCCCTGGGTTTCCAATGGAGCTGAGGTCATCTGACAGCCTGAGTGGCACTGAAGTGGGTACCAGTGAGATGCCTCTATATGCGGACAACAAAACTCTCCATGTAGATTGAGAGTGGCCTTGGGCCACACTTTAAATGATTTAGGAACCAATGGAGTCATGTGAATTTCACATGCTTAGGTTGGGATGGATGGCCCTGAAGCTTCCCTAAGTCTTATCATATGCATGTGGACCACTCACTGCCTCAGCCCAGGTCTCTGAAGAAGAGATGTGGAGACTGGCTAGAAATGAGGAAATGCCCTTTCTCATCTTTGCTCCTCTTCCCTTCTGTCTGCACCCAAAGCCTCCCCTCCACACTCCCCCCCACTATGTACCAAAGGCTCGCCCTGAGATTTGGGTGGATGTGAACTCGCTTCAGTAGCAGCATCCTCCCCCTGCGACTTCTGACCACCTGGGCTGGTGTTTCTGACCACCTGAAATGGGACCCTTGGAAGAAACCCTAGCGTTCAACAATACAAGGATACTTTCTGAAAGCATCCAGAGAAGTAGCACTGGGCAATCAACACTGTCTGCGCAAACATTTAGGCATGAACCAGAAACATTACTGAGCATGCCACTGCTCCCCCCCAGTGTGGCAATTCAGGGTCCTCTGTTTAGAGCTTCTCTTGGGCCCGAACTGCACAAGAACCGGGGGGAACCAAGGGAAGAAACACATGACACAGTTGAATGTTTCCTCTGCCAGCATGCTGCCAGATGCTAACGACTGAAGCCATTAGTCATTTCTGACAAGCCCAAGGGTTTACATTTTAACAGTCTGAGTATTTTATTGACAATGGCCTGTTTTGTTTTTCTGGTTTTTTTTTTTTATCAGCCAAGCTGTTTTACAAAAACAAGCCCTTCAAAGGCACGCAGTTACAAAACACCCTTTTCTAACATGCCTCATGTGTGAAGGCTGAAGATAAAATGATGAAGACTTAGGAAACACGTAGCATTACATGGTCTAAAATGGCATATAAGCTTGTCGGCTGCTGCAAGGCAGGGCTGGTATTCAGGGTCTCAGGGGGCTCAGCTTGGTGAAGTTAGAGGCTGAGTGAGAGGACTGCAAGTTTCGATCAGTGATAACCTAGCCAACAAGCACATGTCTTGGCAGCAATGCGACTCCAGACACATTACCACTGTTTCAAAGAAGCTTTGCTGAAGACCAATGAGGAAGAAGAAACACCATACAGAATAGGCAATGATTATTTTCAAGAAGCAAAGAATGGAAACAGACACCTGCCAAGGGTTAGAACTGGCTTTCCAGCTCTTTCCTGAGGCGTTCTCTGGTGCATCTCTATGAGGTTTGCGACACTGACACCCCCTGTAGTCTTTGTGGACCCAGTTATTATTTCTGCCCTTTATCCTCCATTCTGAGGACAGAGATAGGGATAAGGCCAGAAAGGAGGGGAAAGGGAGAGAAAGAAATGTGACCGAGGCCTAAAGCAGGAAGCACCCACAGTCCCGTTCCCAGTGTCATGCCTCCAAGTCTCTGCTCTCTGCTCCAGAAGTGTCTAGTCCTTCTTCCCTAAACAGGTCCCCCATTCTTCTGTCTGCTCACTGCACCCATGCCATTCTCTCTCATGAACATTGTGTCCCTTCCTCAGCTGATTTTCATCCTATTCACCCTTCACATCCCATTTTAAATTCCAACGCCCTTATCAAGGCCTTTCCCAATGGTCTCAGCCTTCAGGGGGGACAATACCACACAGATGGGAGGCCCACCCTGTCTTGTTTTAATGCACAGCCCCAGAGCCCCACCCACCCACGCACTGGGCCCACTGGGGCAAGGGTGCTGTGGCTTCCTCCGATGGCATTCTCAGCCCTTGAAGTGTGATTGCTGATACAGGTGAGGCTGACAATCAAGCCGAAGGACCCTGTTAAAGTAACTCCCAAGTGGCGTGTTGACCAGAAGGACCAAATCCACCCACATCTAACATCAGTTCAGCCTTGGTTTTCTGAAATCAAGCCTGACACTTTGCTGGGACATTTCTGCAAAATACCCAGATAAGTACTGTTCTCCCCAAACAGACGAAACCCTTCCTCCTCCTATACACTCTCGCTTGGTGCACACACATCCTCACCTGAGCACACACCACTCACCTGCACATGTGCACTCACCTACACACACTCACTCAACCTCACCTGCACACACACTCTGACCTGAGCACACACCGCTCACCTGAGCACACACACACTCACCTGAGCACATGCCCTCATCTGAGCACACACACTCACCTGCACACATGAACTCACCCCCACACACACACCTGCCGGGTGTGCCAGCCTCTGATTCCTGCCTTGCTGCAGGACTGAGACACCACTTCTCTGCCCTTCATCCCCACACTGGCCTTGACACATTTCTGGCCAGAGAAAACTGTTGTCCATTCCCCCAGGTCTTGGGCACTCAGTGCTATCATGTAGCAAGAATGATCAACAACCACTCCTTCCCTTCAAAAAAAAATTGTGGTTTTGTACCTGGAAGACAAATGCTTGGAGATTTGAAGATAGACAATTCAGGAAATCACTGAGGTCTGTCGATGTCCCCAGCAAAGAAATTAAACTGCTTAAACCTATAAAGAAACAAAATAAAAAGATCGCTAGCAACGCATCAGAATTTTCCTGTCGGTGTTTGTATACTAGGTCACCTAGGGGACAATACCCGAACAGTAGTTCAAAGGCACTCCCTGAGGCCGCACACTCATTTCGAACACAAAGGATGCATTCTAGGGCCGGATTTGTCACCTCTGCGGTTGTCTAGTTCAGAGTTACATGGTGTGGCCTCAGAGGAACCAACTCTGCCACTTGTTGAAATGGAAAGAAATATTTCAAAATAATAACTACACCTTCTAATTACACAGAACCTGGCTTCAGGTGAGCTCATTGCATGATACAGACATGACCTCACCCTTCCTTGCCATTTTCATTAAAGAAGTGGTTTATTAACTCATGGTAAACATCAAAGCTGTTGAGGGATGTACAGTGCCCTGCCCAGGGTTACAGACTCAGTACTGACGGGAAGGGTGGAGCCCTAGCATGTGTGGCCTGGAGACTTGGGTCCACCACCGGCCAGAGCAGCGTGGAGGGCAAATGAGCAGCCTTTGGCCTTCCTACCTGCTTGGGTGCCACGGGGTACCAGGCAGAGTTTAGAAAACCCAGGAGGTTTCTGTGGCCTGACTGAGGCTTGCTTGGTCAGGGTTCACCTGGGAGCTCTCCCAGGAACACCTCAAGCATTCACCTGCCAGGTGTCAGCAGGGGCAGCCCCCATGCTGGGCTCTTTTCTGGCTCTGTGCCCTCCTGGAAGGACACCCAAGGTGCCAGCAGGCACACAGGAGCCCCAGGCAGGCCGGCACGCAGCCTGACAAGCACCTGCGGGAGAGGCCTGATGCTTTCCTGGGGGCTCCCTGGGCTCAGAATGGGGGCAAGAGCAGGGTTTGGGCAACCACCTGGGATTTCTGGGGGAGCCAGTAGGCCAGGAGGGGTCCCTTTGGGCTCCTACTAATCAGCATTGCTGTCCACAGCTCTGAAGCTTGCTGGGTTAGTTGTTCACCTTTTAGTTGCTGGTGTGGTTGGAAGAGGGCATATGTAGGAGAGGACATCCTGGCATAGCAACAGAAGCAGGGGAGATAATCAAGGGGGAGTAGCGTTGGGTAGGAGGGCAAGTGGGGTGCGGGGCAGAGGCTACTTAGCAACAAGAGCGGACCTATTTCAATATTTCAATAACTGGTACAATCCAGACAAGGTCAATCTTACTTCAAGGTCAAAGGAAGAAGGCAGGATAATCTGTGATGCTTTTAGGCCTTGCAGAATCCATGTGTCCATCTAGTCATGAAATCCTGATGTGCTACCCTGTGCCAGCATTGCGTTGGGTGAACCAAGATGAATAAGCCACAGCTGGCACCTGACGGAGCTCACAGGTGCTGGGGAGGCAGCTTCTGCACAGGTGTGTGCACCAGGACGGGGTCAGGCCCCCAAGGAGAGAGCTGCTAGGCCTTCCTGGGGCACTCTGGTGGGCGGGCATATCTGGAAAGGGCAGAAATAGGAGTACAGTCCCCATGGACCCCTGTCAGCAACTCTCAAGAGAAAGGCCTTGAGATTGACCCAGAGTCTGGGGAGGAGTGCAAACGTTCTACAGCTCCCCACTTAAATCAGCAGCCACGTTCTCCCCCTGAGAGGGAGCGCGCCTCCTCTCACTACTTCCGCCTCCCAGGGATGTAACCACACTGCCAGCCAGCTTGCCAAGCTCTTTGTGGAAGAGAGATTTTTTTTTTCTTGAAAACTAATTACAATTATCAGACAGCAAAGGGCAAGAATATCCATGTGCTTAACATCACTTGTTTGTAAAGTAGTGAAATACAGCAAAAGCACCATGGTTCAACTTCACGTTGTAAAAAAATAATACTTGCTGATGCTAACAGCAGTGGCAGCCGAGTCTGGTAGGGCAGAGAGCTAACACAATCCTATTCAGATGGGACAAAAGAATTGGTGCAGGTACAAGATGATGTAGAAGTGTTCCCCCCTGGCCCCCAAAGGAGCACACCAGGTTGCTTTCCAGAAAGAATTATTGTCAAGCAGCAATCTCACCCATCTGCTCATTTATTCACTCAATAAACGTGTGTGTCAGCATTGATTGCCTGGAGGACACTTGGGTAAACCCTGGAAGAGGTTCTCTGGGGGCTTCCTAGCCCCTGGCAGGAAAAAATAAATGATAATATCCAAGAGCAAATGTGTTCTACCTCTATTAAGAAATCCCTAAATTAGTGTTGGCCGTGCCAGCCCCCAGTATATTCCAAACACTCCAATAAAGTAAGTGGCAGAAGGAGGGATTACATTTCTTCTCTGCGGTTTTCTCCAGGTCGTCTGCACTGCCTGGGTGACCTGGCGGGGCTTTCTTAGAAATGTCCATGATGGCATGCAGATCCGACTTCAGCATGTGGACTCTCGTGTTATTTTCCAGCACCATTCTCATAGTCTGAAGGTAACGGGGAAGCATAACACTTAATTCAATCGTGTCATTTTACTTTTGCCTAATCCCGCCCCTCCAAATTACCAAGACTTCTTGTTGTTGTTGTTGATGAGATGAAACAAAGTGGGTTTGGGTATTACCCATCAAAATGGAATCCTCAGTGACAATGAAAATGTTCGAATTTCACGCATTCTAGAACGGCCTTCCTGAAAATCGACGTTTAGAATGCATCTGCTCATAAGCAGATGTGTTTAGGGCCCTCAGGACCCTGCGGCCCTTCCTCTCCCTGTTTCTTATTCTCTGCACCCCACTCAACAAGCCTGAATTACTCTAGAAGAAAACTGTGGGTGATTGCACGTCTGTGGGCACAGTGGCTCTGAAGAAGAAACAGTCGTGACTGATTTCGAAGGGTGGTTGGGGAATTCAGAAGCTGTATCTGTCCTCTCCCCTTGGGAGGCTTGGACAAAGAATTTAGTCCCAGCTGTCTGATGGGGACAATCCAGTCCTTCATATTTTGGGGGTCTGTGGGATGAGCAATGGGTTGTGCGCACACCAGCCCTAGGAGTAGGCACTAGAGCCACCTCCATTTTGCAGAGGAGTAAACTGAGGGCACATGGGGTGTTAAGTAAACTTTCCCAAGTGACAGGAAGTGTAGAGATAAGATGAAGAGCAGGGGCTGGCTCTAGGACCCAAGCTGGCCACTGGAGTTGAGTTGAAATGAAAGTGTCATTCCCTGGCTGACCCAGTCAGGAATGTGAATGTGCTGGACAGGCCGTGAGCACATGATGGGGAAAACAACTCCCAGGAACTTGAAATCTAGGGAGAGTTTTATGCTGGAAGGATGGAGATGGTTAAAAGGAAGGCTTGGCTGAGTTCTCCCGAGCTGGGACTGATTTGGAACAGAGCGACAGTTCCCAGCTCTCCTGACCTGGTGCCCACAGGGTTTCAGGACAGATTCCTGAGTGGCCCACGTGCTAGCATTACATAACCTTTTCCTCATCCCTTCTCTACCTGCATCTAACACTGAAGCAACATAATCAACCCAGGAGAAAAAAGGTCAAAGCTGAGGAAACTGGCAGCCTGGACACTGAGTCTATAGGGCCATGCAAGTGGGGAAGGGCTCTGTCTGTCTGTCCTAGGCTCCGCTATGGGGTCCTTTCACCTCTGACACTGGCTGCCTTGCCGGCCCCTCTATGGGGTTTCCCTCTGGAACTTTAGACTGTTGACCTGCTCACCCTGCTTTCTCTCCTGCATGGAGAGCTGGTGATTGGGGCCTTTCCGAGGAAGGGAGGAGAAGGTGGGCTTATCGCTGGACATCTGGAGCCCATCAGGCCTGCCTAGCCAGTGGTCAGCAAGGTCCTCCCATGTGCCCGCTGCCCTCCAGGTGGATGGAAATGGCCTCCCTGCTCTGAGGGGATACTTGGAGCTTTCAGCTTTCACTTTGGGAAACTGCTTTGTTCCCTCCTGTCTTGTTGCTGGAAACCTACCTTTGCCATGTTGGAAAGGTATGTCTTCCTTCTTAGTCTTTTGACAAACACGGTAACTTCTGTTAAGAACAATACACGCCATTATTGATACTATAACGCCACATTGTCACGTAGATCAGTGGGGAAACCAAGGCACTGACGGGAGGCACACACATGGGCCTCGGAAGGCACAGCTGCCCAGGTGGCCTCCCACACAGCGAGGCCTCCATGCAGCCTCGCCGTCCCACTGCCCGCTGACCCTTCCCCGAATGGCTAGGAGATTCTGATAAAGACAACTTGACTAAAATACCCCTATCCATGTCATAAAAATTATTTAATCCCGGCATCTGACATGTCTGCTCAAAGGAGTTTAAGATTTGCCCGGGAACCCTGAGTTCCCCCAACTTTCTCATGTCTATTCATGCTGGGAATCTTGATAAAGTTTAACCCACTTAGGAATTTTCACCGGGCCAGGCGGGGTCCATAGGCCCGGATGGGTGCCAGCCAAGTTCTCTCCCTAGAAAATGACCAAAGGAAAAGAAAGGATGAGAAGAAAAAACACAAAGAAAGGAGGGCAACTCTCCTTTTAAATATATTAATTTACTCATGTGATAAATATTTCCAAGGGCAGGTTTTACCCCATAAATGTTTGCTGAATTGTTGGACAAATGAGGGCAACCTCTCCCCTCAAGGGGCTCACCCTCTGAGGATGGGTCACCAGGTATGCAAACAACTTCCCAACAGCAAGGTAAATGCTCCCTGGCAACGTGAGAGCTCAGGGAAGGAGAGAGTAAGGGTTTAAGGGCAGGGTGAGGCCTGTTTGGAAGAAGGTATCAGAGACAGCTTCACTTAAAAGGTGACATTCAAGTTGGCTTAAACATATAAATTAGGAGTTAGCCAAGGGAATGGGGGTGGGAGAGGCTGTCTAGGCACACAGAGTTGCAGGAATAAAGGCCATTGTGGGGACAGCCAGTCTTGTGTTGCTGGGGAGCACCGGTGGGGGTCCTTCGGGGAATGGGGCCAGGGCCAGAGGCCAAGCAGTGGATGACTTTGCACAGTGAAGGGGAGTGGACCCTGTAGGCAGCAGGGGGCATGGAAGGTTAGTTGATCAAACCACTGTTTTAGAATGATCACTGGGTGTGAAGGGGAGTGTGACTGGGGCTGGAGACAGGATGATCAACTATAATAAGTAGGAAGCTGAAGTGGCCGAGTGGAGGGACAGAGAGAAACTGAGGACTTGAATTAGGGCAGGTGGTAAAGTGACCCCGGAAAAACTGAAGTGGGGCTTCCTCTCCCCTTTCACAGCAAGTCCCAGACCCCACTCTCTCTCTCTAGGGTCACCTCCCTGCTGCCTTCTAGGCTGGCAACCACAAGGGCTCATGGGCCCAGCCTGGCCAGGCGAAGATTTCCAAGTGGGTCCAACTGGATCAAGATTCCCAACATGAGGATGAACACAGCCAAGGGTGGAGGGATTGTGAGTGACATTTGTCATGTTCCTATTCTGTAGGCACTCTGAGAAACCAGCAAACACTGTGCAAAGAAAGCAAGACCTACAGAAATATAGGGAGATGACTGGGGAGGACCTGGTGATGGGAATGGCCCTGAGCTGGCCCAAGAACACTAGGACCCTGCTGTGGAGGGGCCATTGGAAAGAGTTCTAGGCAGTGATGGAAAACAAACACACAAAGGTTGTTTTCAGGACCACAAAACATGGCACCCACAGAGCAGGGATGTGCGGTGTTGAACGGAAGCCACGGGAGGCCCTGAGCAGACAGGCAGCCTGGTGAAAGTTGTATTTAGAGACTATAACCTGGTAGCCAGATAGGGAGGGAAAAAAAGCATTCTCAAAAGTCAGCAGGGCGACTGAGACCATAAGGTGTGAATGACTGGGTGGCCCCAGAGGTGTGAGGAAGTTAAGGATATGGGAGGAATTTCTAAGGAGGAAGCAATATTCTTTGAAGCCCTTTAGAGGGCCACAAACAGGACAGGGAGGTGAAGAGATGTTGGCACCTGAGGCCAGGTCAGTCCTGCTCGAGGGCGAGAAGGGAGGATTGCGGGCTGCCTTCCAGGAGCTGGTTAAAGAAGGAAGGCGCAGGGGGCTGACTGGAGGCGCCGGCCAGGTTCTCCCAGCCTTTACAACCACCAGGCACCATTTCTACACCTCTAATCCCTTGGACCTGTCAAAAGTCCATGTTATGATTCATAAGGGGGATCAGTCAAAGGGTGTGGATGGATCAGCATCAGAATCCGTTATCGGCACTAAAGAAAAAGCCACACGTTCTGAGCAGGGCAGGCCCTGTGGACTGTGTTCATGAATGAGGGGGAGGAAGCGTTACACAGCCGAGAGATCCTGCATGGTCTGAAAGTCAGATTTTGCATCTACTCTCACGAATTTATTTTTTTCATTGAAACCTACCTTTGAGTTTGGAGATCTGTAAAAGGGTTGGAAAACCTTCCAAAGCATCAAGTAGCCACAGTTTAAATTTCTTACTAAATAACTGGACAGATTTCAGATACTGAATAGAAACATCTTCCAGAAAGTCACGAAGGAGGAGGTCCTCAATCCCCTACAAGAAAAATGTCAAGACACTGTGACTGCCCAGCAGTGCAGGCGTCCTCTACTTCCAAGTGGTCACATGTGCCACAAACTCAGAGAAAAGGCCCCGCCAGGTCAGAGATGGCAGCCACCAAGCAACCCTGGCCACTACTGGTGTGGTCAGCATTTGCATTTTTTCCCCAAAGATCTGATATTGATAGCTGATTCAAAATTCTAAAAAACTGTGTATTGGCCAATGCTAGATGGATCCAAGCAAAATTTTAAGGGCTGAACTCAGGTCCTGGTTTTCAACCATTGTGTTGAAAACTTAGAAGCACTAATTTGTTTCCTAAAAAGTAACAAAATAAAACATAAAGGTTCACAACCAGTTTAAAGAGGACACACTTTCACCACAGAAACTGTAGTGAAAATATAACTGACCCCTAAACTATAATAATCACTGTAGAGATAGAGTTTAAAGACAAACAAACAAAAAACCCTGGCAGTTCTGTATACTTCAAAACAATTATTCCAATTACTCATTTAGTAAAAACGAGTCTTTTTTGTTGCAACTATCAGAGAAAGATCTTTGACTGAGTTCAGGGTTCCCTGGTTACGGGAATCATAGGTCACCATGTGTATTTGCTTTTTCTTTACATGAGGTAACTCAGACTCTCAATGAATTAAAAAAGAAAAGGTGACTTTTAAGGAAAGATCCGAAGACTCATGGTCCATCAACTCCACCATTCACTCCTCAGAGGCCCTGAAGTCCACAGACACTGTAGAGAGGGAGGGCTGCAGTTCTAACCCCAGCATTTGGTATCAACTCCTAGAAAGGTACAAAGCAGCAACTCAAACAAACGTCTTCCTACCTTGTACATCTGTACGTCGTAGCATTTAAAGAGCTGACACACATCAGGCAATGACATAAGCACCACTGTGTCTTGCTGCAGAGATTTCCAGAAGGAAATAAGCAAGTCCTTCACCTGTGGTAAGGAATGGAACACATCTCCGGAAGCTGATTTTGTGCCTGGTGAGACTAATCCCTCTATATACTTAATCAGCCCCAAATGATAATGGGATGGACTTCATCCCAGTTAATGTAAAGCTTAGCCTACCCAGTCGGATGGGATAACAAGGAACATATTTTCATGAAGTTTTCAGGAAGGAAAGCTATTTTAACCACAAGGGGGCTCCTGCTGATTATAATAGGATGAAGAAATGGCCAGAGGAGCATAGACCAGAGTTTAGAATGAACATGACTGACTGACCCTTCAATTATTTTTTAGCTCTGAAAGAGAAGTACCAGTATGTAATCAAAGGGGCTTCCTTCCTGACATCGAGTTAGAACCCATCTAAGGATTGTCAGCAAAATGTGGAAAACTTTTGTTGAGGAACAAAATGGCAGCATCCTTCCTTTCCTTTATTTTCCCCCATGTTAATTTTTCAGATGCCATGACTGAACCAGTTGGCCAACCTGAGTTGCCAGCTAACAAAGACTCTTGACTATTGGGGATTTCTGCAGGCTCAAGTATTCAAAGGCATCGTGACCCTGACACTAGGACATGCCGGTGACTTCAGGTAAGACTCTGAGCAGGCTGTCAAGGAAGTCAGGGCCAACTCCTGAGTTACCTGATGATGAACTCTTGATTTGAAACCCTGTTATCAGGGGCATGAATTCTACAGAAAACATCTCCAGAGAGACTCTATAAATATTTATCAAAAAACACAATAGTGCGACAGCGGGATATATTAATCCTTTTCCTCTCATGACCTTTTAGGGTTGGTGGATTTGAATGAGGCAGCAGCCATGGGCTCGTCTCTGCTAACTCCCTCACCACCCAAGTCCAAGTTTATCAAATCCTATTGCATCTGCTTCTGAAATATTTCTCTAATTTGTCCCTCTTTCTCTGTGACAAAATTGTCACCATTCCAGATCTGACATTTTTCATTGCTTCTCAGTTTGACTGTGACAAAACCTCTTTACCAGTCTCTCTGCTCCAGTATGGATATCTGTGTCACTGCTCCCACATTGCCTTCTTAATAAATCAGAATTCTTCTCAGGGCTTAAGAGGCCCTTTCTAGTACCAGTCTATTTTCCCACTTCCCATATGGCCTCTCTCCTTTAGAGATAATAAAACCTAGTCATAGTCATAGCACATTTTTGTCATGTGCCTGTGAACATCTTGCTACCTTTGCCTGTATCATTGGAAGCCCTTTCCTGCCCCATTTTGAGTCTGTCAAACCTCTGCTTTTCCACTGGAGTCTGCAGCCACATGGCCTCCTCCTGGAAACACTCTCCAGCATTCTCTATTATTCTTCCTCTGGGCACTGAGAATAGTCTAATCATACTGCTATTCTAGAACTTGCCATATTATATCATATTTATTGGCTTATATTGCTCCTTTTAGTACCAGACTATCAGCTTCTCAAGCCGTATGGAGAATACCTTCTTAGTTCCAGAAATGCTGCTGGGCACAGAGTAAGAATTGAGTTAATATTGATGAGTGAATGAAGGGAAGAAGGAATATAATAGATAACCAATGTGGATGGATATTCACAGCGTTGCATTACTAGGATGGGGGCCATTCTGAAGACATCTTGGTCTCTCCTTCACTATTATGCTTTACTCTGAGTACTGAATGCACTCATGCTGAATTACTATTATCACCCAAAGTTGAGGCACTTAGAACACTAAATCATCAAAGTTTTGCTTCTTTTTCAGTCAGCATGGATCAATAAAATGGCTCTTTAGCATTATTGAAAATTCCAGGGTGAATAATATTACTTTATTCAAAATCAGCTGGAATTAGGATCTAAAAAAAAAAACCTGCAGAATTACATTTAGAGCATAAAGTTAGACATACTAGCACCTTGGAAAATTTCCATATGATTAACCTGAATAAAAATATCACCTTCAATAACTCACTAACTATAAAACAGGTGGATTCTAAGCCCTTCAGTGCAATGAATTACCACTAGACATCCCTCGAGAGGTCTTTTCGAGTAGAATGGTTAAGAATGAGTCATAAAAGCTTGTATTTTATAGATAAAGCCCTACCCTCTCAAGTTCTTGGTTCCTCACATTTTGTAAAATGTCTTGACAATAGTTGCAGTATTCATCAGCAAGAAAGGCCATCTAGGAAGGAGATGGAAAATTATTTCAGTTCGCAGGCCACTTCAAGAATGAACTGCTCCTCAAAAGCCTTTCAGAAGCCCTAGAGGCTGCTCATTTTGCAATTTCTATATGACAGTAGCCAAGTTTTTCCTCATGTGGAGTAATGCAAACCTTATTGGCCTAAAATTGATGTAGCTTCGATTTTGATGTCATAACTCCACGGTCTATCCCACCTACTATAAAGGGCACCGGTCTTTGACATCTTTTGCCCTCAGCCCCAATTTTCCCCCTCCATATTCCCAAGTCCCAGTTTCTAGAAAATCAACATGTCTGTCTGTTCCCTTCTCTGTCATGGGAAGCCTTCACTCTGGAAGATGACAGAGTGGTCCCAGGTGGAGCTTTTCTATAGGACGAGAGGGGAAGACCTGAATTTGGGGACCATCACCAGGCCCAGGAGGAAATGTTGGCCCTCACGGGTCTGGGAGAAGGCAAATATTATGTCATCTGGTACAACTATGATTACAAGCAAAATACGAAGAAATTTACTGCCCGAGGCATGAAAAGTTAGTCTCCCCCATGCATGCAAGCCTACCATTTTGTAGGAGTACTTCTTTGCCAGTTCTTGCTCCCAGAATGGACATCTCCTGAATTCAGACAAAGGTGATCCAACTGGGTCTGTCTTTATTGGTGAATGATTTTCACACTAGAAACCATTGACACAATGGATTATTTTTTATAAAATAAAATGCATTTTCTCACATGTAAACCATGTAATAATCATATTGCTACTATAGGTTAATGTTCTATGTAATTTTTTATCCACATCTCTGGACACATTATTATTATTATTATTATTTATTTTCAGGTGTACAAAACAATGTAATATACATTTGTACTCCTCACAAAGTGATAACCCCCTTCCCCAATCTACTACCCCCTGACATCATATATAGCTGCTACAATTCCATTGACTCTATTCCCTATGCTGTACCCCACATCCTGTGACTATATATATATATATATATATATATATATATATATATATAAAATTATAGTTGACATTCATTATTATTCAGCTTCAGCTTCAGGTGTACACTGCACTGGTCATGTATCTACACTGTCTGGACACATTATTGATCACAGCAACTTTCTTCCCTTATTTCATTCCAAGTGATACGAACTTTCCTGTATAATTCTATGAATTATGGTCATCAGGAAGGAGTTAGAACTTAATATACTACCCAAATGTATCACTCTTGTGGTCATGTATTACAAGTGCTGTATAGTAATGTACAAAAGTATTATCTATGAATAATTTAATGCCACAAATACATTTCTACAACCTTCGTCCATATAATTGTCCTCCCTTGAAATAAAACAATATCCTGTCTGGGTCAACATACCTATAGTATAAAAATGGCTAGTTGTTTCAGAAATTTTAGGCCTTAACCAACAAAGAAAATGAGGGACACAGAATTTCCTTTAGAAGAACAATTTACAGAATGTAAAATGTTTCTATCAAAGAGGAAGAAAGGTAACATGGCAGAAAACAAATTCCACATTCCTTCCTGTGTCATCCATGCTGCTGTCCCCTCTGAGCAAGGGAAGGAATCATCACTCCTGATTTGAGTAAAGGACATTAATTTTATTTTAAATGATTCCTTCAGGATTTTCCTGAAGTTCTTTTGAGTAACTTTCATTTCAATAGGTAGGATGACACCATTTCTATGAGTTGGATTGAGCGGCAACGGTTGCCGTTTTGGACTGCAACCTGCATGAGGGTTTCCCTCTTCATTCTCTCTCCAACCTAATGGCTTGCTCTGTGAGAGTCCAGTTCCAAGGTCAGCATTTCATTCTTAGCTCTCTCAGTTCTTACGAACTTAGAGCCTTACTGAGCTACTCACTTATGTCTTACTTAGTGGATCCTTTATGCGGGCTTGCAGTATGTGCCGTCTACAGGCCACCTGAGGGCAGAGTGGCTTCTGGACCACTGGCACTGACCCTTAGGGAGAGGAGTGATGCTCAGCTACCATCCCACACAACACTACTCACACTCGAGACAGGTGCCACCGGCTTCCCCCTCATTATCAACCAATATCACTGAGGATCAGAAATTGAGGAATCTTAGGAACTATGTTCAACAGTCTTCTCAGCGTCCTAAAATCTGTACTTCTTAACTCTTTTGTGGTCCTGAACCCCTTTGAGAATCTGATGAAAGCAATGGACCGGCTCCCTGGAAAAAGGTACATTGTGCTCTTAATATTATGAAGATGCCAAGTTAAAACTCCCTTTGTTGATATTTTTGGAATAAAGTAGGGGTATAGATGTCTAAACAAATATGTAAAGTAGTAGCATGGAAAGATGACAGCTCAAAGGACTTTTCTACTGGGTGTTGTTTGGCTTCCATTGGGTTTCCACTGGGGGGCTGTTCAAACCTCATTCCTATCACATTAGGACACTGGCTTCATTCAGAGCTGTCTGATGGATAATACTTCTAGTATGTGGGTATGGGTGATGCTCAGGCTGTTCATCAAAAAAGGGTGGGGCTATTTCATGGAGTTCACTGGCCTGATCTACAATGCTTCTAACAGAGAATAACTGAGGAATCTTCAATTCCAGTTCTGGGCTAGCCTCTCTTACCTACCACATCCCTCCCTAAGTGCATTCATTTTTTTTCATAGCTCAGCCTGACTTCCTGTCCTCATGAATGGTCTCCTGACCATTAATGATCAAAGCCAGTGTTTCTCAAAGGGGGTCCTGAAATCATCTCCATCAAAATCCCAGGAGGTGCTTGGGGTTCATCTCCTGAGGGCCTGAGTGAATTGGAGGAAGCCAGAAATCTATCATTGTAACCAGCTTTCCCAGCGAGCCTTTATGCACACTCAAGTTGAGAATGGCAGCTCTAGGCAGACTGTTCTTTGTCCAACTCTGCAGAAATCTCTACTTTTCAACATGGCAAATACATTACAGTTTCACCTGTTCAGAAGAAATTATCTGAAAAGGTAGTCATTTTAGAAATGATTACAAGGAAAATGTAATAGTAAGCTGTTACACAATAAAATAATAAAAAGCAAATTCATGACTTTCTCAAGTCAATTCCCTCAGGTTGTTCTTGTGAAAAGAACTGGTTTTTCAGGAAAAAAAAATATTTTTTTTAAAATTATGAATTTAAATCTTTTCTTCACAATAGAAACAATAAAAAATCTAAAGTGCAGGTATGGTATAGAACAACTCAAATTTGACTCTCTGCAGGGGAAGTCATTCAGCAAAATGACAAAGAAAAAAAAGAGAAATTCTATTGAGATTTTCCAGGTATATTAAATGCAGTTTGGCATTTTTCAACAGGTCCAAGAAATGTAATTGCAATTATTATCATTCACTGCACCAGCCTTCAGTGAGCACGTACTATGTGTCAAATCCTGGAGATACGATTGGGGGTCCCTTCCTGTCATGGCCCTCCCAGCCAGGCACCATCTGCCTCCCCTGAGTTACTCTAGCAAGCTTCCTCAATGCCTTTTGTTCTTCCTGCATCTGGGAAGACATTGTTCTCAGAACAAATGCATCCTGTCATTCTCCTTCTGAAGATGCCTCAATGGTTTTCTACAACCTTTTGGGTGAAATCCAAATTCCTCAGCCTGGCACTGACAAGCTGTCCACCATACAGACCCCACCCAGAGTCTACTGCTCCCCAGTGTCCTCACCTCCAGCTCCTC